ACGAGGCAGTCCTGTGCTAACAGGTAGGTTCATAAAGTCAGTAGTACTAAATCATGTTACGTTCTTTTGATATTAATGGAGGGGGTTATAGTCTTTTTTTTTTTTAATAAAAGCAGTATACTTCATTTTCTGTATATTACTGTAACTCTATTATATAATTGTTTTAATGAATGTTTCACAGTTTGATCTATAGATTTGTCTATTATAACCAACCTCTGAGTGTAACTAGTGTGGGTTAGTAATTCCCCATAGTCATTCCGAAGGGGATGGAGGGGGTGCTTCTGCTGACCTGTATGGGCAGTGTAGCACACTTGTATGCTGTTGTGTCTGCTTGGCACACATGTAATGTGCCACTGTCTCATCAAGTCCTCAGGTGGAAGGGGATCAAAATGCTAACTCTGTTTTGGGAACCTGAAAGAGCTGCCTCTTAAAGTATACAGTTTTGGATTGGGTTACAGAGATTTGAAAATAGGGTATTTGATGATAATATAGTGTAAATGCGGATGTTGCTCTGAAATTCTAGTGCTTTAACTGGTATCTGGTATTCATTTTTCATTTCAGTAACTTGGGTTGTTTTTCTTGAAGGGCTTCCAAGTTGTCAAGCAGTTACTGTAAAATATATTGACTTTGGCAACGTTGCTAACTTAAATCTTAAAGACATATGCAGAGTGAAAAAGGAGTTTCTGAGCTTTCCAGAAAAGGTAAATTAGTGCATGCCTGGATGAAATAATCAAAATTAACAGAATCTCAATGCGTGGAAGGGGAAAGAGAGGGCTGTTAACATGCTAAAGTAAATAAAACGTTAAGCAAGTTCCTTTCCCGTGGGTTTATAATATGACTTTTTTAATATGTTTCGAATGCACATTAAAAACTCTTTAATCTAATTGAGTCTTAAATGAAATCTGATGTTATCTTGCAGAGAGGAGGTATATATACACTGTGTGTGTGTATTTGATGACTGAGCCAAATGAATTTTTACGTTACTTCATTTTCAAATGACATAATTTCATTTTACTTTACTTAAATGAAGTAACTTCATTTTCAAATAATGGTATTTTTTAAAAAAATGAATTTTTGTTTGGATTATGGTATTTAAATTTGGTGTTTTCCTAACTTTAGGTGTTGTAGGAGTTTTCCCCTCTGACAAGGAGAAAAACTGAGTGGGAAAGGAAATGGCAAAGTATTTATGTCAAATAAAAAACGCACATAAGTAGAAAATAATTCTTCAGCTGTACATTCAATAGTTCTGGTTGCCAACCATAACTATGCTAAACTTTAAAACTTCATCTGTTGATAGGGGTTTTTTAACCAGTTGTAGGCACTACAAGTAGTGATTGTTGTTAACTAAGGTTGAGCAGCATCTTTTACTGAAAATAGGATTTAATTGTTTATATTTTGAGCAGGTGTTTCTGGGGAAGGTTTCAGCCAAAATAATTGAGCCTTTTTTGACAGCAAGGGAGAGGAAACATTCTGAAAATGGCAAAATGTTCTTGCAGTTGCAATGTCTTAATGCTTCAAGTCAGACTGGCTAATGAATAAGGGTGTTGGGATTTTTGGTGTGTGTTATCCCATCGTTCCAGCTGGTGGCTTGTTATTGACCAAATATAAATCCTTGGAAAAATCCGTTAGGAGTTGGTCAGCTCTTGAGCACATGCTACTAGGACTTCTCACTTTGAACATACAGGAGAAGGGCCTGAAGAGCTATGGATGCAGATGGTTATATGACCACTAGAGAATAGTCTAAAAAAACTTGAATCCACCAGTTAATCAGCATTCTTGTGCCATGTATAGGTTATGGTGAAACACTCTAGCAGGGTGTTTATGCTTGAAGTTTGCGTAAGAAATACTAACTTCCCGTTGCTAAAAAATAATTTTTAAGGATTTCAAATTCTTAGAAACAGTAATGAACGCAAGATTGCAAAATCAAGTGTTCGGAAGGTAAGAGTGTCAGAAGTGAGGTTGGCTGTGCAGGTCTGTCCTGTAGCATATAAGCATTGGTAAGTCTTCACACACAGTCACATATTACATTGCCTCAAATGTAAGTTGGTCATTGAAGAGATTTGAATTAGGCTGTGAAAGAGAAGTCAGACCTTTTCCAGCCAGTTAATACAGTTTGCAGGCATTTTAATGGACTTGGGTGGTGCAGAAATCTTGGCCAAGACTGGAGTGAGCAATGCTTAATGTAATGTTGGTTTTGTCATCCACAGCCCCTTCTTTTAATGGTTATGTAACCTGTCAGTCACTCTTACTTTCATATTCCTGACTGCCTGTGTCCTAAGAATATCTGCACAAAACATTCTTCTTTCTACTGTCTTTATGTCCTTTCTCTCCCTTTCCCCCAGCTTGTGTTACTCTTCTTTCTTTCAGTGCAGTAAACGAGGAGGATGCAATAACATTCACAGTTAATGTAAAATTGAGCCATAGGGTAGCCACCAAAATTTGCAATAAAGATGCTAAAAAAATTCTTTTAATCAAAGTACTTGGTCTCATAATGGTCATGTGGAACCAGAAGCCAAGGCCATGCTGTTTTGCTGTCTTGCATGAGTGCAAAGCGAAGGCTGTGATTTGGCAGTAGTGAGATGGTCTTGATACGTGATGGTAGATACATAATTTGAGTTATTCTTTAGGTAATCAGGTGCAAGTTGGCTTGCATTGAGCCTTATAAAGGGGCAGATGAGTGGAACAGAGAAGCCAAGGAAAGATTTGAAGAAATGACTGAAAATAAACTTCTGCTGTGTTCAGTTGTTGGTAAGTTATCAAGGGTTAATTTATGTTTAAATCTTATCAAAGGGACTCAAATGTAGAAACATGCGCTTTCATATTTTCAGTCGTGTTTATTTGAAATGTTTATGTGCATAATTGCGACAGGTAGCCTGGAGTGAGAATATCTAAACAGGAACTAGTTGAAGGAGACATAACACATAAAACTTCTGACAAAAGCACTTTTTATGTCTTCTCTTACGAATGTATCACAGCATTCTGTGATATAAATATCCTAGCTTATTAAGATGGGCTTGTTTCTGAAAGTTCTAGCTGTCCTTGACTCTTCCTGACTTTCTTTCCTGACAAGCATTTGTTGTTAATATGCAACTAATTATTTTTCCATGCATGTGGAATGGTGGTTTGAAACCCATCTAATAAATGAAATAGCATATAGCAGTTGGTTTCTTTGTACAAAAGTACTTTTTAATTGTATTTTAAGTTAATTTTATAGACATGTGTAAAGCTAAGCTTCTACATATTGTTGATGTTCAGAATCCATTAATTTATAGATGAAATGTAATTCTACAAAATTCTGTCTCTTACTACCATTTGCCATGTCTCCAAAACGAGAAATAGTCTTTATATTGTCATTGATTGGCACTTAGTTATGTTTATATTATTTATTCACAGAAGTTTTAGATAATAGTATCTTATCTGTTGAACTCTTTGACTCCTCTGCTCTTCGTGGAAGAAGCTTAAGTATTAACTGCCAGCTAATTAAAGAAGACTTAGCATCCTTCATGTCTGGGTAAATACACTGTCAATAACTTACAGAAATTCTGAACTTTATGTAACAAAATTACTGGCTTTAGTATGTAGCTCCAGTGGATGGAATTTACCACGTTTGTGATAAAATTTATTACAAATCACATTCATCAACTGACAGAAGTTACAGAGTGTTAAGTCTGCAGTTTGGCAAGGTTGAATTCTCAAACTAAATCTTGACTAACATAGTGTATTGAAATGGGTTCACAAGTTGGAGATGAAATGTTTGCATCGTATTTGTAATGTGCTTAAGTGCCAAATCTTCCCAGGATGGTTATCATTAGTTAAGGTTCCCATTCCCTTGTAGTACGAAAAGCTATAATCACGTTCGTGTGTTTAACCTGCACCCAAGGGAAGTCATCTCTTTGGGAAGGTGTGTTACTAGAAAGAGAATACGCAGATAACCAGCTATGGCAGCGACAGACAGAAGAGCTGGGGAGCCTGCTGGGGGAGATGAGGCTGATAAGGAGAGAACACTGCCACATCTGATTTGTTGGCTTTTTAAAAAGATAATCCATGGGCTGCATTCAGCAAAATCAGTAATTACTCTTCCATTAATAATTTTTGAATACTGATGAAATAAAAAGGTAGTTAACTAGAAAGTTTTGATTCCAAAATAAAGGAATTTATAGAATTTGCTTTTTTTCAGGAGGAAGCAAATAAGTGGATTTTCATATCTTAGCTAGAAATATAAACCCTAGTAATGCGAGTAACCCTAGACCAGGTTGCTCAGAGCCTCATCCAGCCTGGCCTTGAACATTTCCAGGGATGGGGCATCCACAACTTCTCTGGGCAAGCTGTTCCAGTGCCTCACCACCCTCTCCGTGAAGAACTTCTTCCTGATACCCAATCTAAACCTCTCCACTTTCAATGTAAACCCATTACCCTTGGTCCTGTCACTACAGGCCCTTGGAATAAGTCTCCCCCAGCTTTCCTGTAGCCCCTTCAGGTACTGGAAGGTGCTATAAGGTCTCCCCGGAGCCTTCTCTTCTGCAGGCTGAAGAAGCCCAACTCTCTCAGCCTGTCCCCATGGCAGAGGTGCTCCAGCCCTCTGAGCATCTTCGTGGCCTCCTCTGGACTCACTCCTGATGATCGATATCCGTATGATGTTGGGGGCCACTGAGCTGGATGCAGTACTCCAGGTGGGGTCTCACCAGAGCAGAGTACAGGGGCAGAATCCGCTCGCTCGACCTGCTGGCCACACTTCTCCTGATATAGCCCAGGATACGGTTGGCTTTCTGGGCTGCCAGCGCACACTGCCGGCTCGTGTCCAGCTTTTCATCCCCCAGTACCCCCAAGTCCGTCTCCTCCGGGCTGTTCTCCATCCATTCTCTCCCCAGCCTGTACTTGTGCTTGGATGTAACACTAATGTTAATATTCTTTACTTCTGAAGGTAATATTTACACATTGTAGTAGTTGATTGTTGCAGCTTTCACTCAGAGGCAACACTGCTTTCTAGAAGCATGATATTAATAATTCAATGTCTTTTAAGCCAGAAGCAAACATTAATGTTCAGCAGCCTATTTGTGTCAGGCTTGCTTTGCTGCTGACAGCTTACACTGCATGATGTGTTCATCTGACAGTAGAACGGGCAAGGATATCTTCTGGGGAATAGAAATGTTATTGTCATGAGTCTTTCAGAAGTAGCATTTAGAAATGTTTTTGTCTTTTGTTGTGATTTTTTTTTTTTTTGCTTTTTTAAATTACTCACTCTTTATGTTGAATGATTCCAGTCATGTTGAAGTGTGATTATTGAGCTCTTCTTCACTTGGTTTAAAAATGTGTTTAAACTTTACATTCTAATTACGTCATGCTCTTTACAGGTACAGTGAAAGTACTGCTGTAAGGCCCAGTGAAATATGGGAGGTTCCTCTAGAAGAAATTGCTGAAACCTCAGAAGCTTTAAATCCTGTAGACATGGAACTTGTGGACAAAGGAGATTTCAGATCACTTTCTAAGAAAGAGCTACAGGTGAAAATCAGTCATGTTGTGTCTCCTAGTAAAATTTTTATGCAGTGGCTGTCGTCAGAAAGCATACTGAAAAGGTACTGAAATTCAAGAACTTTTCTAGAGTTAAGACATTCGTATTACAAACTGGTGATGTATAATTGGAACGAACTCTGATTAGGGTTGCATTTGGCACTGGGTACTTTTTTGAATGTTGTTGACTTACCTTGCTTTGTTGAGGAAAGTATTGGAACAAAAGATGCCCCATCCCTGGCTGTCTTCAAGGCCAGGCTGGATGAGGCTTTGAGCAACCTGGTCTAGTGGAAGGTGTCCCTGCCCATGGCAGGGGGGTTGGAACTAGATGGTCTTTAAGGTCCCTTCCAACCCAAACCATTCAATGATTCTATGATTCTATGAAAAGACAGATTGGCACTATGTTGTGGTTTATTAAGTATTTGTGATTCCACATTAAGTACATGATCTAACGCCTATTTCAAACCAGTTTTTCGTATTGGGGCCTGATAAACGTAACACTGTCCAGACAGATGAAATCTTTCTGCTCTTTCTTTTCTCCTCTCCATTCCGTTATTAGAAATCTTCTTAAATAATACTGGTATCCTAAGCCATCGAACTTCCATCAAGTTACTTCTTTCTGTATGATTCTAATACACTGTTAGGAAAGTTTGAAGGCAGTTTCTAGGCATAGTGTATTGTCATTATTTAACACCAGCCAGCACCCAAGCACCACACAGCTGCTCGCTCACTCCTCTTTCCTCCAGTGGGACTGGGAGGAGAATTGGAGGAAAAGACAAGGAAACTCATGGGTTGAAATACGGACAATTTAATAGTTGAAAATAAATGGAATAATGATACTAACAATACTAATAATGCTAATATGACTACTAATAATATATAATGAAAATAATGGGAAAGAAAACAAATTCTACAACTGCTCACCACCCACCAACCGATGCCCAGCCAGTCCCCGAGTAGGGAGAGCCAGAGCTGGAGAGAGACAAGAGCCAGATCCCCAGAACCAGACCAAGCCCAAGAGAGACACACTCCCAGCCCATCCTCAGCTTACGTCCTGGGCATGATGTTTGATGGCACGAAATGTCCCTTTGGTCAGTTTGGGTCAGCTGTCCAGGCTGTGTCCCCTCCCAGGTGCTTGTAGAGAAGAAGGTGTGTCGTGGTTTACTCTTTCCTGACTAATAACAGCACAAGGTGGGAACACAGAGGCAGTATGAGAAACTGAAAGTGTCCTTGGCTTGACATAAAGTTGTTGCTTGGCAACATTAAGAACATGACTATGTTGTCAACATTCTTCTCCGCACAACCAAAACACAGCCTGATGCTAGCTACTGTGAGGAAAATTAGCTACCCAACTGAAGTCAGCACATGTGACCACCTTCCTTTGGCAGATATGTAGGTAACATTTAGGTAATAGTGCCTGCTGTTTGAAGGCAGTTAAATCAAAATGTCATTGCTTATTTGTCAGTGCTAGTTGCTTATTTTCTGCCTTTTATTTCTCCTTTCGTCATCTTTTTACCTCTAGAGTCCCAGTCATGACACTAAATGAGTACCACACTCCCAAGCTGTTGAGAGAAAACAGTGCATCTTTCAAATAATGCTATCCAGAATGGTCAGGATTAAGTCACTCAGATTAATTCCATTCTTCAAGCAAACATGATAGTTTTGCATAATTTTAATCATATTGCATGTATTTTGAAGCTCTATGTTACGTATTACTAACTTGTCATGAATAAAAAACTACTGTGTGTCTCTTAATCAGTTACTAAAACTTTACTGACGGCTGGTTAAGCAGTGATTGACTCAGTAAGCCCTTTACGCACTGGATGAAGTTCTACCACTAGTTCAGCGTGGGTTTCTGAATGTTAGCTTGCAGGAGAAGATGGCTGCCATCTACAAAGAATCCCAGCCACAGCCCGTGAAGTGGGAAAGCGGTATGCGCTGTGCTGCTTATGTACGTGATTTGAAACAGTGGCAGAGATGTCAGATAAACAGGATTGTCCCTGAAACGAGTGCAGAGGTAAACCTCTTCTTGAAACGGGACTCGTACTTCTGTTTCTAAAGTTTGCCAGCATTCCTTGATTGAAATAATGTTAAATCTTTGCTTCTCACTTCTCTGTTAATATTTTCTCATACAGCCTTTTGCTTTTGTCGAGAGTTTAAGTTACACTGTACATTGCTGCAAATAAATTACTGTCTCATCAGATGCCTTTAGCTGAGAACCTGTCAGTTGAGGAAAGCTCATGAGGTTGACTTTGCCTGTGTTTACACGACACTTGGCAACACAGCACAGGGTCCCAAACTCTAGCCTAACAATTTAGCTTAAATTCCAGAAGCTGTGTCAGCCTGAGGGCCACATTAATTCAGACTAAGCGATCCTTGCTAAAAGATGAAGCCAGGTCAACTGAGGGCAGCATCACAGGAACACTGTGGTCAGGCTGTTGCTTGAACCCTAATGAGGGGTGATGCACTGTGCCATGTAGGCGAAACGTTTTCTACGGCAGCTTCTCACACAGTCCCGCTTTAAACGTGAGTTTTGTCGCACTCATTTGAAAAGACTAAACATCAGAAGAGGCATTTTGTGAACCTGCCTCGGAAGTGAGAGTGTTTTCTTAATAGTACAGATAATCCAGGAATGGATTACCATTGATTCTCTCCACCATCATCAGATTATGCCCATAAATCTTGTTAGTAGGAAGCAGCAGTGGGATTTTATATATCCCTGGTGTGCATCATCTGCTTTCTAAGGCTAAGAGCCCTCAAACAGCTGTTTAACCACGTCACAATAAAAAGCAAGAGGTGGAGGGGAGCTATTTCAGCATTTCCAGGTTTACAAAGTTAAATGCATAGACACAACCAAAGCAAAGGAAAAGGGATTTTCTTATCCAAGTAACAGCCTCTGTAAAGTGGTTCAACCCCCTTGGAGCACATTTGTGTGTGTCTTACCGGTATGCTGTGGTAGTCATTTGTGCTGTGTGATGGAGCACTCCAACGCCAAGGCTGTTTGTTGCATCTTGGAAATACTTGAATTTTGTTTACTTACTCAGGCATGCTTTGAATTGTCTTTCATTACAGATAACATTAAGAGAGGGGATGTTTCTGTTTCATTGTGCTTCTTGTCTGTAACAGGTAATACTTTATGATTCTGGAGCTGAAAGAACAGTGGATATCAGCTGTCTAAGGAAACTTGAGGAGAATATGAAGATAGTTAGGACGTTAGCAGTAGAGTGTTCCTTGGTGGATATAAGGTAGCCTTTCCCTTACACCAACTAGCAGTATTACAAACCTGATAATGACATAATCTGTTCCTGTGTTAGCACTGATTAACCAAGATTTGGATGTGGTTTGCTTTTTGAATAAAGAGGAAATGGATGGTGGCTGTGATGTGTTTTATACAGGGGTTTTCTCCAAAGGGTTATGCTACATGCCAGTAAAGCAGAAGCCATATTGGAGAAAGAAAGAATATAGGATGAATTCTAAAATACTGGACAGATGACCGAAGTTTTTCTTATTTCACTAAATGTTTTTTCTCCTTGGCTCAGAATCAGATCTCATGAAAATGTACAGGAGGTCTCTATGGCTTGAGACCGTAGAAAAGAGAGAGAACAGGGTTATTCTACCATGCATTTGTTTGTGTGCTGTCTAAGTGAGCTTAAAAGTATATGTTGTTTGCCCCCACTGCCATTGCTGCAGGAGATTCCCATTGGTACAAATGAGAATAGGCCTAGGTAATTCTTACAGATGGGTTGCATAAGGGATGTGTTCTGTAAGGGAGTTGTAGGGGGCCTACAGGGGAGCTGGGGGGGACTTCTTACAAGGACCAGTAGTGATAGGACAAGGGGTAACGGGTTTAAATTGAAAGCGGGGAGGTTTAGATTAGATATCAGGAAGAAATTCTTCCTGAAGAGGATGATGAAGCACTGGGACAGGTTGCCCAGAGAAGCTGTGGATGCCCCATCCCTGGATGTCTTCAAGGCCAGGCTGGATGAAGCTTTGAGCAACCTGGTCTAGTGGAAGGTGTCCCTGCCCATGGCAGGGGGGTTGGAACTAGAAGATCTCTGAGGTCCCTTCCAACCCAAACCATTCTATGATTCTATGATTCTGTACTGCGAAGAAAGATAGATCATGTTTGTAATACCCGTTCCCTGAATGAATATAAAAAGCCTGGTTTGCAGATGAAGTCTGGGTTTTCCTTTGCCCTGTTAGGAGCAGTGTCGTGCTTCTGAACCTCATGATCCTCCTCATTTTGAAGTTTTGAGGTTATATTTTTGAATTCTTCCTGTCATGTAGGTCCAGATATGAATAACCCGTTCATTTTACCTTTGACTGTCATGGAGTTTGTCATTTTACCCTGACAGTTCAGGCAATTTCAGAAAGAATGAAACTCTGGGTGAAGGGAGGGTTTGTGGTTAAGCTCAGGAGATGCCAACTTCCTTCCTACTAAAGGAGATGATCGTTTGTCCTGTGTTAGACCAACAGGGGGAAGCACGCAGTGGACAGCAACAGTGTGTGAATATTTATCCTATTACCTGACCGGGATGCAAGTGAAAATAATCATACAGGTTTGTAATCAAAACCAGCGGTATTTGTAAAATTTCTGTCAGGTTGTCTGCTAATTTAATTTTTTTTCTGAATATTTCCACTCTTGAAAAAGTCCTGAAGGGAACTTGCTTAGATTGCTGGAAAAAGATGTTTTTTCTTTTTCCTGCTTTACTTTTGTTACTCACTGGAGCGTTAGAGCAGTTTGGCCTACCCAGTGTAGAAAGAACACAGTCTTAGATACATTTAGTTACTTAAGAATAATTTTTACATCTTTACTGGATGTTGACAACTATTATGGACAGATGAGCTTGATGCTCATGTTCTTTATGAGAATGATTTCAGCAGCTGCTGTGTTAGTTTTCGAGTCTCAGAAACTGAAAGAAGGAGGCCTATGCTGTACAAACACCACTAGTAATTGATTTCTTCCACTGGGGAAAAAAAAATGGGAATTACTATGAGGGTTTGATTTGTGTCTGTTGGCAGCTGCCAGCGAGGTTTTACAGTGTGGCCTGGAAATAAAAACACTGATGAACAAAGTTATTTATGAATGGGGTTAAAGCTCCTGTTGGTGGGAAACAAGTGTTGGGTAGTTCATTCTGATCAAACAGCTAAGGGAGAAGAGGCCAGGTTTTATTCTGTTACTTTTTTTTAATATTATGTTTAGAACAGTTGGTAAAATGATGGGAACCATGATTAAATAAAATTCTGTGTCTTCTGATGTGGGCATCAGTTGTTCAACGGCATCTGATTTGCAGTCAGTACCAAAAAATGAAAAATACACCTGTGGTTTAGAGGAAATGCATGTTGTAATATGTTACCCAGCGCTCTCATTTTTTCCAGGAAGCTGATGAGGCTTGTGCATTGCCTGTGAAAATTCTTTGCAAAGATGAAAGAGGAAAATTGATTGACATGTCAGAACATCTGATAAAAAAGGGTTTGGCTCTTAGAAACAGAAGGTTTGGATACTTTTCTATTCTTTCAGACTCTCATATTCAGATCATGATAAGCTAACAAGTGGAACAAAAATTTGGATTGTTCTCTACAGCATATATGGCTGGATGGCCGCACTCAGAGA